AATATAACTGCGGGTTTTCATGTATTATAAAGACTCTGGTAACTATGGACGGTAACTAAGGCAGGAAGAGGAAAACAGAAAAATAATGTCTTCTTTTGTCAAAGGGAGTTGTGCTGTCCTATAAGGCTAATGCTTTTTGCTCCAGTGGCAATAAGCCTGCAATGATCAGGTCCATGGCTTTATTGTCTTCCACTGGTCATCTGTTATGGGATCTTCAGTAAACCTCACTGCACTCCTTCACGCATCTGTCATGCTGGGCTCTGCTCTATTACAACCTGAGTGCTCCAGACAATTGGAATATTATATAGTGTAGTTTGAATAGATTGTGCACTTACTGTATATCGACACATGAGCGGAGGACACATAGATCTCCATCATCTCAGATATAGCAACTGAAAGAAACTGAGCAAGGAGTATTAAAATGTAGCTTCTTCACACTTTAGAATCTCACACACAGACTCCAAAGAAAAGCCACGCAACACATGAACAATTTCCGGATGGTTTTATGGCCTTGAACTGAGTGCTTCGGCTCTTTGATGCCAGTCTGGCAACAGAATGCTGACTTTGTTCTCCAATAATAAGCAAGGGTACAGATTGCACCGCGGAGCGAGGACCTTGACACACAGGCCTGGAGAACGGAGCAGTGAAGGGGGCTGGGGAGCGGAGAGCTGGGGGACAAAGTCTCAGACTTGGGAATAGCTTCACTGAGCAGCTGACACTGACCAGTTCTTGTCTAGAGGTGAGAGGTCACCGCAAGACCTAGTGTAGAAAGAAAAACACAGCAGCTGCAGGCATCCAGTTCGGTGCAGTAAATTTAGCCAGGCCTTTGTGCTTCAAGGGATGAAGAGCCCAGCAGAGACATATGGTACGGACACCACACACAGCCTTCCAAGACTGCCCGGGCTGTTACTTGGTCTCCATAAAAACAAAATGCGTTCCTGCCCCCCAACCATCACACCATCCGCCACCCCCTTCATGTTTATCTAAAGCTTTTCATTTTAAAACAGTCCTTTTCAGGTTGATTAAATGCGCTTGCAGAAGGCAAAAGGACACAGGGCATGTAAAGGCACTGCACCGCGTTGCTGCACGGCCCCAAATGCTGTCCAGATTCAAAGAGATACAAAAGCTTTTAGACTTGCTTAATCTCTCATTCAGTACTGGTTTCCGTATTGCATGACAGTGCACAGGTATTTTTCTTTTAAACCCACCAAAGGAACACAAAACAATTGCCTTTGCTGTTTTAACTTTAAATCCTGAAAGAGGAAATATTTCAGAGTCTGGAAATGTTCATTTCACAAAAGGAACATTTCTAAACAAAATGAAGAACAGATATGGAATGCAGGGTGTAAAGCATCACAAAATGCCTACCCACTCCGTGTAAAGTGCGAAAGACCTTTCAAAGAAAAAAAGAACATGGAAATGCCAATTACTATATTTAATATAAAAGATGTACATGTGCAGTATTTTCAAGCATACTGAACATTAAAGGTACGGACCGTTGCAGACACTAAGAAATAGCTTAATGTTAAACCTTATACCCACTTGATGCACAGGAAAAATCTCAAATACCTTTCATAAAATGGAAAAGCAAGCTTTTGCATTTCTATAGGAGAGGTTAACAGTGTTGTCAAGCAAGTACGTTTGGAGTGTCATCATGGTAATTGCAAAAGTAATATTTAACTGTACAAGTGTGTGAGAGATTATGTGTCTCCCCATTCGCAAGTGTCTCGGTCTGCGTGTACCGTACATAAAGTATATGTTTCTACAGGGCACATGGGGCCATCTGTGTCTGTGTGGCTGCGTGCGTGTTTACGTGCACCCTTCAGAGCAGCACAATGCCTTGCTTTGTCAGGGTGTTGTGTGAAGACCGATTGCACAACACTGCCGAGAGATAATCTAATCGGCCCGTCTGTACTGAGGGCAGATGTTGCACTGCGGATGGGCTGTAACGGCCCCCATTCACAGAGCCAGCCAGGAGGGGAGCTGCTGCCACACCACAGGCGGTGCCCTCACTGTCCTTCTATCTGCCTGCTGGAACAGGAGTTTTAACCAGAGCCCAGTAACCTCATGGGCAGCAATACATCCCCCTAGGCTGCTGGTGTTTAATCCCGGCTGTCAGTTCACAATGAGTTTGGACATAATTCAATTCACATGACGCAATAACCTCGGGTGGCACTGTGACGAGCAGACACAAGTGAAACACATAAAGGGGGCATCTCCCGGAAGACCCGTTGTTGCACACCAGTACGCTTTGTAACGAAAGAGTTAATGACGCGTGACTCCCGCTGACGCAAGTGGATCGTCTTGTCAGTGTGCTCGGGCCTTTTTCCCTTTTCTGTTTTCAGTATTCCTATTCCTGCCTCAATGGCATTCCCCACTGGGACGGGCTCGGCGGCTCATGGAGGTCCGGTGTGACTGGTCAAGGAAGTCCTTGTCCTCCTCGTGACTCCCCCTCTCTCGCACCCGGGACCCGGCCAAGCCACAGGACAACCCCGAAGCTGGGAAGTGGTCTCCAACAGCACACCAGACAAACGAAATCCCCTCCATCCGCGGGACCATCGCGACTTCCACACTTCCAAGCATGTCAAGATGAATGGAAAGGAAATCACCTGGCATGAAGCATTGTGCATTTGTCTCCTTTAATTATTATGAAGGACATCAATCCCATCTGCTGGTGACTAATTTCTTTGGGTTTTTCTTAATGCTCTCTGATCTCTTCGCCTGAGTCATCCCTCTTAGTGAGCAAGGAATAGCCCGCAGTGCTTCCCCCTTGCCCTATCAGACTTCATCTTTCTTTCACTTGCAGTGACTGAGTAGTGGAGGCAGTGGGAGGGGGACGAGGCAGGAAGTTTTACATGACATTAATTGCTGGGATCTGTGGGAGTAATCTCAGGCTTCTGCTTTTATCATCGGGGGTGACACATAAGAGAGCACCTAAGCCCAGGTGCTGTGTTTTCTGCATGTGCATGTGCAGTCTTATTCCAGGCAGGTATTAAATGCCTTGAATCTGTCATTTAGTCACAGGAAGAAATCAGACCCTAAGTAATTCAAGAAAGCTGATGGATGAGGAAGAGAACAGTTAGTGCCACCTCACTCCTTGTTAAATCCAAAATTGTTTTAAAATGAACATTTTATTTTATTCCAACACTTATTTTCTTCTCATGCCCACACCAACACACTGTTCCAGAAGTATCTATCGGCCTGATCGTTCAGGGTTACATAACACGTTATACATGCAAATTCTTGTCGGATAAAACTTCCTTTAACTGGGTCGTGCCTCGCCACGAAGGAGAAGGCGCAAGGAGCTCGTTATATTTCAGAGGCTGGTTACAGTATGCTGAATTCAAAGCTTGTTTTTTTTTTTCTTTCGTGGTTTCTTGACAATGTCGGGTCTGTCGATGTAAATTACCAGCGCGGGAGGGCTGACAGCCAGCAGCGAGTCGAGGTGCCTGTTGGCGTTTTGAAAGACTCAATTCTCCCCTTCAGATCCGTATCACTCAGCACCGGCCTCTTCTTTCTGCACCACGGTCACTCAGCACCGCCCTGCCCGCATTCTCCGAGACCCGCACACTGCCTTTCAGTTCCTGGGGCCGCTTGGGTTTTTAGTTTTAGTACCTTCTAAAACTCTTTTAGTCAAAAGTCAGTTTTAGTACCTTCTGGTAATGAAGGTAAAATACATCAGCGGACGTTTTACTGGGATATATAGGAAAAAAACTTCAAATCTGAGTAATGATGTGATAACTGTGCCAAGCATGGCGGGTGGAATGTCGTGCTTTTTGTTCATAATTCTCCTGTCATCTTTTTTAAAAGACCAAAAATGGTTTTGTAAGTCTATAATACCAATCCTAACGAGACATTTCAAACTCATTTAGAAGAGTTGTTAAGATTGAAATCGTGTTCATATATGCTATAATGATGTTTGACGAATAGGAAAGGATTTATTAAATGAGGTTTAGTTTCTCAGACTTTAACAGACCTGTGCGCCCGCTATTGAATGCGTCTCCGGTGAATACGTGCAATAAAATCGGAAACTGTCACATTGGTAGTGTCCTAGTATGGTAGTCGCGCTATATGTATTTATAAATTTATCCGACTCTCACTTTTTATATCAGATTTAACTTAAAAGGTAAAATCTCTTACTGTATGGGGAGCAAAAGCACTAATTTTCTAAATTGAACGTGCACCGTTGATAGCTGGGCGAGGGGACGACACAAGAATTATATCAGTTCAGTTCTTATCCTTAACGCGCAGAGGGGCTTTCGGTGACCCTGGGGAAAAACGGAAGAATGTACAGTTGGGTGAAGCAGGGTGTACCTATCTGCTGCCCGCTTCCTTATCACTGAAAATATATAAATTGTTTTACTGCGTCTACAGGGCCCGCTACCACACACAAGGGCTCCATTGTGTGAAGTGCACGGCAAAAACACAAGAGTCCGACGTTAAACAAACATTACGCAGGAATTCCCATGCTTATTCTGTAGGGAAGGAGAGTTTCGTAAAAATCCCCCTCCCCTGTTTGCTCAAGTCAACGAGTGTGATCTTAAGCTGGTTATTTCCGTCAAATTCCATAAGCAGACAAACCCACTTCACGGAACGACGATACTGATGACTAGAACATTCCCAATAGACAGCAAACCGTGCAGAAAAGCATACACACCTGCCAGGCTGCTTTAGTTATTGATTAACTTGAGTTATACATTTTCTATAAATATGTATTCTTTTTTCTGCCTTTTCCCCCCAACATCCACAAGTCCAGATCCCATTCAAAGCCATACACGTCTGCGCATTATTTTTACGCATACGTTTCTCAACCCATCAGCTGTGAAGCTGTTTCAACACTTTTTTTCTAACTTGATAAAAAAAATTAATGTATAGATCAGCAATGTAAAATTGTATTTTCAACGGATTGTTGTGTTAGAGTCTCCCTCCCCATGTTTCAAAGCAATATTCGTAATTTTAAAACATATGACAAATAGACCTACTGTTTTCCCTGCTTTTCATTAAATAAATTAAGACTCCGTGAGAACCCACATGATAATTTGGCATTAGCAGCCCGGAGGCGCTAGGACCCGCTGTCTATACGCTCGATGAATTCCAGGACTCGACTCTTCAGCTGCGCTTGATCTCAGCTCTTGACAACACCCGGGCGGCCGCGGTGGGTGGTGCTGGCCGGTCTGCGAGCGAGGGGAGGAGGGAGGGGGGAGTTGAGTAGTAAATTGAAAACTTCCCGTGCCGCCGTCTGCGGCTCAGTCAAGTCAGAGCACAGCGAGAGCTGAAGGACACGAGCCCGGAGCCCGCAGGAGGAAGAAAGTGACGAAGATGATCCGTACTGGATGTCACAGCAGCCCTCAAGGACGGGACATCTCTCTGATGTAATCCATCGTCATCACATTCAATCTGTGGTTTACAGGACCGCTATCCATTAAGAGAACAACTCATAACTTTTTTTGTATATTTGTTATTTGCGCTTGCTCGTCTGTGGACTAAATACCGCTTTGCAGCTCTTGACGCTTTTTATTGGGAATCTTCTTTTCTATTCCTTTTTTAAACCTATTTGGTTTCTCTTCGTATATCTCATTTATTTGTTTTAGTTAGCAGGTATATCATTTAGACGGTTATACCTGCGGTTTTTCTAAAACTGTATTAAACGCACATTCCTATAACCCCTCACAGGTTTTGAGTTTGAGAGGTTTAAAAACGGTTTTTTTTATCACCCCGCTACCACTGAAAGTGATTAGCCAGCGAGTTAAATGATTTACCTGTCGTTGCTGAGGTGTGAACGCCAAAGTCACTGCTTTGTCATTTTATAGGCGAGCTTGTTATCGCAGTCAAGAACGAATATTAATTGCCTTTTTTCTAAAACTGGAGCTTTGACATTTTCTTTAAACGCTTAAACAAATTTAAATTACAAGAACTTTGTGAGAAGTTTAAGCTTCCTGCTTAAAAAAAACAATACATGTTTCAGGATTATCTAGATAATTCTCTTTAAGTACTGTTTCTTCAGTAAAAGATGCGACATTCTCAGAATCCCACAGTAACAGATCCGCCTAGTTCTCCTCGGACACTCTCAACTTTTCGCCCATCCCGCAAGAGCGAGTGGCTCCGTAGCGCTCTAACTCACCATTACGATCCGGACCCGGGCGTCGAAAACGAGATTGTGGTTCTGGCGACGGGCATCGACCAGTACCTGCAGGAAATATTCCACCATCTGGCTTACTACAGCGGGGACGACCTCGTGTCCGCGGAGGATTTTAGGCTGCTGTGTGCGGTACTGGGAATCCTCGAGGCCGAGCAGGGAGAGGAGGAGAAGGCAGCTGGGGAAGAGACACTGGGGATCTGCTCAAGGCTGCCCCCGGAGCTGGGCTTCAAGGAGTTCCACTCTCGTCTCTGCGGGTACTTCTGCCTCCGCTCCGGGGGCAGTAAAGCTGACGCCCGCCTTCCCGTGGCCGAGGAAACTGAACACATAGAGCGCGAGATCAGGCTCCGTTGGCCACGGGTTCGAAGGAGAAAGTGCGTCAGTTTCGACCTCTCCAAAGATGTCCCTTCCGGGAAGAAACAGATCCACAGATCGGGGTCAATCCTGAAGCTCGACAATCTGCACCGCTGCTCCGAGGAGTCAGAGGATGAGACAGGTAGACCTCTCCATGCAAGGCACGAGCTGTTATTTGCTCCTTGGCTTCTCGCGTCATTCTTTACATGTTGTTACTCATAACAAATAACAAAACACTTTTGTTTTCTGAAAATTAACTTTTATGTAACCCCCAACGCTAAAACATTACATTTGTTCAAGTCCCGCATTTAATTCGTTTTCTGCACTGGTAAGGTAGACACGATCATATAATCAGTAATGTCTTTATTATTAGTCGAAGTAAAATTTGACTAGAAAAAATAATTAAACTATCAAACAAGGCTAAATTCCCATTGTCTGATTAGTATATAATTAAGTAATAACATTTAATAAATCCACTGGGGACTGTATATGGTATATGGACTGCATAGATCAGGGGCAGTGTATATGGACATTACTAGTATGAAGCTCAAAATACATTAATTGTCATAATCATAAACTACTCACTAGAAATGGAAGTACTGCAAAATTATTCAATACCTGTGCCTGACCTTTGTTTTCCCAGTCTCAGTTTCAGAAGTGTTTCTGTTTTTTTATGGTGGATATTTTCAGTGTAGCCTTTGTAGTGAACACTCTAATATTCTAATCTTTTACATTCTTAACTGCATGTTCAGTTAAGAATTAGTTAAGAAGTACTAAACATGCATCTGCTCACTCTTACCAGTTTAAGAACAGTTTAAAAGACTAATGTATTACTGAAAACATTTTTGCAAATGAAATCCTGCTTTAAAAAAAGTGGTGATCCTCCTCCGTTTAGTATAAACAATTTCTATTTCAATCTCAAAAGGAGCCTCCTGAGCTGCAAGAGGTTTGGCGTTAGGCACGCATGAAAGAGTTCTAATCCAGAGTAACTGGCCAAAAGATTAATGCAATTGATTGATCAATTTATAGACACATGCTCTCACACAGTCTCCTTGCCTGGTTTTATAACAGTGTCTGTCATTAGAAACAAAATCAATCAGTTTGAACTTGTTGCCTTTGTCACTTTTACAATCTGTTTTCTTATCAAGTCATCTTCAAGAGGTAAAGATAATACTGGCAGGCTGACAACCCCCAGATAAGTATACTGCATCTAGCAATTGGTTGAAATTCCTTTGTTTCAAGGCTGTCCCAGCTCATTTTATTTACCCTAATTTCACCCCCTTTGAACTACTGCCCAGTGTCCTAAGTGTCCTAATCTTGTCCAGATCAGGATGTGCAAAGGAAGTCCTTGGTGTAACTTAATATCCAGCACTTTTGCTCCTCTGGGGCTTGAGGTTTGCTTGATTTGCATGACAGATTTAGGATGTGTGTACTGTATGCATTTTTAAAATGTCGTAAAAGCTGAAACTGTGACTCACGGACAGCTTGTGCCCCATTTGTTCAGTTCAACAAGAACAACAAGGAAAAAAACACATACCCCAGATTGTCAGGTCAGTGCTGCAGGGCCTCAATCCGTCCTGGATTCGGTCTGACTTGTGATTCCCATACTGCAGAAACCTGATAAGAGATGACCTTGCTTTTTGAAAAAAAAATAGAGCGAGCAAGTCAGAATATGAAATGGAAATACATGACATGATTGCTCTCCACATTTTCATATAGTGAGACTTTCCCTTTAGGCTATATCATTATGCATTTGAAATACAAGATGACTTTTGTCTGCTTTATAAAAATTGATTATATTACAAAAATAAGGGGTAGCAATGATCAGGGCACAATGGACTTTATTCATCACAAAGTTTGCTTCTAGTCACCTGATCTGTCATTATAGGTAATGTTTTGTCACCCTTAAGAAATTAAGACAGCCGTGCAGATTGAGAAACGTTTACAATGAAACTTAAGCAAACTTACACTATGGGCATACTGCTTATTGGTGTCACAAGTGTCTCGTATGGTTCTTGAGATAAATCACTAATGATCTACAATATCTGCAAACATCCAAAAAAACCAACCCAGCGTGAAGTTTTAAATGCTGCAATCCCACATAACAAAAGGGTTGAAAATAAGTGGGTGTCCTCTTGTTTCTTGGTCTTGATCAAGGCTGTGGAAGTCCAGGCTATAAGGGCTGGACTTAAATCTGAGTTACAGATTAGGTGCTTAACAGTACAAATCATATTTTAAGATTTGCAAAATGTCCAGAACTCTGCAAGTAAACACCAGGGTGATCTTCAGCTAATCTTGGTCTTGTGGGACAGTAGAGGGGAAAACTCACCTGACACTGCCCAGTCAAGCCCCTGGAAACACTGAGGCCAGACCTATTCCTTTAAGTCCCAAGTCCAGACTGACAGCTCTGCCCTGCCGGGATGGATACACAGAAGAGACAAAGTAGGAGTTCAGAGACATGCACTACTGAGACACAGTATAAACCCCACATCCCCAATTAAACCAGCAGTGAAGAACACCTAGTCCAAAAATAATTTACTTTTTTATTACTGTATTTATACCCTTAAATACAGTATCTGATTTAAGGAGGTGACAGCATTACCACCTTACAGCCTGATCTCATCAGATCCTACAGGTTAAGCAATGTTGGGCCATGTCAGAACTGGGATGGGAGGCTAAAGAAAACAAGGTTGCCGTGGCAAGTAGTTCTGGTGGAACAGCAGGTGACACTGTTCACATTGGTTAAAAAATTTCCAAAGCAATGCTTCTATCAGGTGATTGTGGACCCTGTTGTAGGAGGTGCCTGACAACTCAGTCCTCGATGATCTCTCGGCCTTGTTCAGGAGGAGGTTCTTAGACATAGTGTCCTGGCTGAATTCCACCTTGTATTTGTCTAATCTGGCCTCCCATCCGTCCACTTGGAATGTCGAAGCAACTGCTCACACCAGGTATGTGGTGTAAAGGAGTGACTGGAACAGAATGGCTACTGTGTATCTCCCAAGGTCAGTGCAGCACTAAATTGGGAGGAAAAGGTTCTAATTCTAATTTTTCTAGTTGGATTCTTAAATTGATTAATTACGTTTAGTACCAACCAGCAGCTCAACATCTGAAACTTGCAGGAGAGTGCCTGAGCACAGCAGTTGTGCACCATTGTGACAGACTTTCCTGTTCCGTCCCCTTCCTTGCAGACTCCGGTCCACAGGGGGCGGCGTGGAGCCAGCTGGAGATGGAGAATGCCAGCCTGCGGGAGCTGGTGGAGGACCTGCGCGCAGCCCTGCAGGGCAGCGACGCCCGCTGTCTGGCACTGGAGGTGGCCGCCCGCAGGCAGGGGGAGGGGTCTCCCCGAGACACGGGAAGGAAGAAGGCGCCCGCGGACAGGGATCCCCGAGCGGACCGGAGCGCGCGGGGGACCCGAGCGCTGCTCCGGGAGCTGGAGCTCGTGCGGGCGTCCCGGGACGGGCAGCTGGAGGAGGCCGTGCGCTTCAATCAGAGGCTGGAGGAGGAGCTGGGGGCGGCCGCAGGGGAGGCGCGCCGGCTGGGGGAGCTGGTTTCCTGGCTGCAGCACGAGAACGGCGACATTAAGAGGAAGGCGGAGGACGCCCGCTCCGCCCTGGTCACCGGGCTGGCCAAGGTGCGAGAGATGCAGGGCCAAGCGAGCCTGGTCCCTGCTTTAGAGGGCCGGGTTCAGGAGCTGGAGGCAGAGATCCAGTCACACAGGTGAGTCAGACGCTCCCAGGTCAGTTCATCCCCAAGGGGGGCAACTTAGGCAGCAAGCAGCGCGAAACACAACACATCCCAAATACAATTGGAAGAAACATGGTGTCGCAACATTGCTAAGAAAAAAAAGTAAAAACTGCAAAAGGTCCATAAAATGATTATGACATTAACAGAATGCACATGCATTGTAAGATCTCTGTACTATAATACAAATTAAAATAATAATCAGTTTGTTAGGTATTTAAGAAAGAATTAACATACTTGTATATATACAGAGGGGGCAGAGATCATATTGATAAAACGTCTTTACACTCATTGTTTGCAAGTCTGATGGCCTCTGGAACAAAGCTCAATTTGCCTCTATGCGTGATTCTGATGAAGAAGAGGAGAAGAGTCTTCAGTGATGACACAGGCCTTCCTCAGGGTCTGCTGGGCAGAAAGCTGTGCTTAAATGATTTTAGAGCTGAGGTTCTCATCTTGAAGGCGTTCTTTTGTCTTTTTGACTTGAGTAGGTGATCCTAAGGAAAGAAAAGAGTTCAAATAATTTTGATAAAAGAGCTAAAAAGAGCTATGAAGTGCTGGTAGAATTCTTTTTTGACTCCAAGACTCGTCCAAGACATTGGTCCCTCTAAACACTTTCCTGCAGGGATTTGTGATTTTTGGTGGCTCATTAAGAAACAAAATCTCTTCCTGTATGGTCTCTTGCTTTTTTGAGACTTTTTCAGAATGGTCCTTCTTGTTACCAGTGTGTTTTAGTCTGGGGGTTTCTTCAGCATTTAAACATATTAAGCCTGGCCCTAACTAAGACCCAGAAAAAATGCTGAAAAGACTATTGTAATTGCAATTGTGGTAAAAAAACACTTAATCACATTACCACTGTTCACCATGGAAAGTCCTGCGCTAGTGTCCCACTGACCATTATTTGCTAGTGCAGTATAAAATAGCTGAGCACAGGCATAGCTCAGAAACAGTGCTGCAGTGCCTCTCTGTTACAGTATGTGTCCTGGGCAAGGTTTTTCTCTACCAGTAATAATGTAGAGCAGGCACACGGATTGTTCAGTTTGATTTAGATAACTTAATTAGATGACAAAATGTCCTCATTTACTGTATTTCTCAACTACTGTCTGAGCTGGTGTGAGGTTTGGAGACAAAGAGGAGGCCTGGGATTGCTCTGAGACACAAGACAGGCTAGCCGGCTGCGGAGGAGAGCAGCTGGGGAGGGGATGGAGTGGACAATTTGCCATCAACAGATAAGGGAATCTTTGGGACGACTTAATTATATGTTTCTGGCTTGTTATTATTAAGGAGATTACCATCTACAGGGCCAGGTTTATTTTTCCAGCCTGCATCCTGAAGCCAGTGAATACAGGACCTCAGGGTTTCCTAATCTCATTGGAACAAGCGGGAGAGGGCCTGGGACACAGACACTTGCTTCACCCCCCGTCTGTCCTCTGTTTCCTACCCACGGCCAGACTGTACTAATCCGGGAATTTCCTTAGTTATCTCTGCAAACTGTTTGATGACTATTAATCAGGAACATGAGAAGATTGGTCGTATTAATGAGCAAGGATCTTTGTTGTTCTTGAATAGAAAGTACAGTCGTACATAGATGTGGACAAATAGCAGGCTGACAAATAATATGTATGTTACCCAGTGCATGAATGGATTTTCTTGCTTCAGATTCAGGGGACCAATTCCTATGTTTAAATGTGAAGGGTCTGCATGACTCTCTCTGCTTGTTATTCAGTTTACTAATTTAATCAGTGCAGGAGGAGGCTAAGCAATGGGATTTGATGTGACTGTACAGGGACACAGAAGAGCTCCTGTACTGACCCAGCAACTCTCGAGGGGCCTGCAAAGACGTAGGGGGGTTTGAAGGTTTTGGATTGGCAAGAATGACAAAGGCAGAGAAGTGAGGGACAGTGCACTTGCCATTGAAGGGGGAGGTCTTGTGAAGACAAAGAAAAGAGGAGGCTGGCTGGTCAAATGCACATTTTGCAGGTGGGGAAAGACTAGGCTGCAGGGAGCAAAGCTCTTTTGCTGCCCACAGAGCCGACAAATTGACACTCTTCTGAGCTGACAAAAGCCTGGAGGCAGGAATAGAGGTCGAGGGGGACAGTGTGGGTTTAATACAGGAGTGCCCAGCAGGGGGTGTCATGCAGCCTGGTGGGGGGAGGATCTGAACCTTGTCCTCCTGTCTTTTCAGGTTTCAATAAGCCCTGTCTCTGTATTCACATGCGAAAACTAATTCAGTCCACAGCTGCAGGCAAAGTGAATCACAGCACTGCAGTGAACAGACCCCTGGAGCAGTTAGACTAGGTGAACTGCAAATTACCAAGGCTCTACTCAAGGTTTTCATCCTGCTAAAGCTGTGGCTGTCAGGTACTTGAAATATCCCTAGTGCTTCACGGGTTCACTATGTAATTTAATGAGAAAAACAGCATAGATGGCAGAGGGAGAAACAGCAAACAGTACTCCAATTTCAACGCTGGGAACAGGCCTGCTGAACACTTGTGAGAACAGCTTAGCAGCAAAACCTGAACACAATTACAAAGTCTCACAATTTCAGTGCTCTAGATATAGGCATTATTCTAGCAGCACAGTGACCAGCCTCCCCACCAAGACTCCCACTGAACCCACAAGCCTAAGACCCTGTCTCTCCACTACAGCAAGCCAATAATAAAGTTGCTGAAAAAAATTCACCCTGTGGTGGATTGTTCACACACTAATAGGGAATAGGTATCTTGCCATGAAGCTGGTTAGCTGTGCCCTCCTGCTGTACCTCTACAATAGCAATCCTGGTACAAGACGAACTGCAATTTCCAATCATGCATTTGCTGTATGTGCGTGACTGAGGAGCCAATTGTGCAAAGATACTATCTGTGGGCTCATGGATGAACATTTCTAAGTCAGAATATCTCCCTAGGAGAGGAGGGTTAGTCCCATACTTGCTGAACAAATGACAGGAGAAGAAAACAGTGTGTACAGTATGCAGTATATGTAGTGATTCTGATAATGTAGTCTTTGTCTTTTCATATGTCTTCTGTTAATTAATCTGCTCCACACCTACTGGTCAGCTGATCGGTGTTTAACATTTCTGAGTCATGTTGTTGAAAGGGAAATGTGCCCATTGAGTTGTATACCTAAGGATCAGGGGTGCCGACCCCAGAATTCCCTCGTCTTTTAGAGCAGACAGGCCAGTACTTGCTCCTGATCTGTAAATCAGCAGATAATGTGTAGCCTTCCTGACTGTCCAGGCCAAAATACGGCAGAGAAGCATCAATTCCAGAAAGTGAGTGAAATTGCAGTGAGCCCCTTCTTTTTTCACTAAACCCTGACCCTGGAGATCAAAGCACGCTGCACCCATAAGACTTTTACAGGGTTCAGTAAACCACAAACCAGAGGGCACACATGCAAACTAAGAGGAAAGTGCATTTAAACAACAGGAGGCTACCCCAAGAGTTGTGGGAGAATGGAACAAGTTACCTTGGCTTCTTTCAAAAGATCCTTGGATCAATTAGCCACATACCAAACGAGACCGATGGGCCAGACAACTTCCTGTCCTTTGTAACTGCTCTTCTTATGTGCTCTGCCCTCCTTATTTTGAGCAACGGACAAGCTTTTGCAGGGTGTGTGCATTCCCAGTTTCGAGTTAGTCAGCCGAACCGCGTGAGGAGGAAGGGCCAACTTCTCCAGCCCAGCTCCGGTGTGGGAGGTGGAGGGGGAAGCCAGGAGTAGCTCAGCTATCCTCCGGCTTCCCTCTCCCTCCTTTTGCTTGTTAGCCCCCCTGAAGCCCACCCTGGTGAGCCGGCTGACGCGCTGCAGTGAGCAGAGAGAGGCAGGTGGAGCTCATTAGTTGCTGCTAACAGGCTCATGCAGTGCTACCTCCTCCACCTCAGGCTTCTCCAATTAAAGCAGCGCTGGGCAGTGAAAGGCATTATCATCGCATTTCAGGATGGCCAGATCGAATTTTCCGTCTCATGATGTCTCCATGGAGTTATCTGTAGATGCTTTTTTAAAATCTGTAAACCAAAGAAATAGACTTAGGGAATAAGGGCTTTTTAAAATTCTTTCCTTGATTGAGCTGCCAGTTCAGATTTGTCTTTTAAATTCTGACCTTATAATTACCATTTCACATTTCCTCCAGTCTCCTGTTTAGCCTTTCATATTATTTATTATTACGCTTTTATTTCCTTCCTTAGAGGATGAAGAAGTCTTTACTTGTTGAAGAAATAAGCACTTTGAGATGGTTTTTAAAGACCCTATATAAAATCATGTTAAAATATCTCAAATCCAGAGTACAGAGTATACATGCCTTGCAAGCAGGATGTTCAATACGTTTATGATGTGAAGTAAACATTTTCAACCTACTAGTTTTTTCTTAATCATGGTGCAAAGACATAAATATAAATATAAGTTATTTTGTAAATGTGTGTGTTTGATGAGGAAAAAAAGAGAAGGATACAATGATTATATTGTTTTTGCTGTTCCGATCTGAGCACAACACCCGCAGGACCTGACAATGAAGAATCACTGATATGTTTAGCAAACAGCTCGGGCTGGAGCACTGTGAGTGAAAGACATGTGCCTGCCTCCTTCCTGTTCCCCAGAGGACCCGTTGACCTCACTCTCCACTGAATTCGATGGTCTTGCCCAGGGAGGAACAGCGCTTCGCCTCAGGGAAGCGTGTCGCTGCAGGGACAGGAGTGCGTCTGGCTAGCGTCACTGACTGCTGTTTGCTGTCCTTGTGTGTTGGTCGCCTTTGCAAGCGGAGAGACATAAGAATGGTTACAAAGGAGAGGAAGACATTCAGCCCATCTAGCTGGTTTTGCTGCCATTTGCTTCTCAAAAGGAATCCCGACTCCCTTAACCCTGCATGTAAGGAAATGCTTCCTGTTCTCAGTGGATCAAGTCCTCTTGTAGCCTTTTTATTCCAAAACTAAAGAGTTTTCAGCGGCAGTTCTTTAAACCTAAGTCCAAGATGTTCGTTAATGCCCATGAATATACTGGTTGCTCTTCTAATATTCCAGTGTGTTTTTGGAATGTGACAATCAGAGCTGCAGGCTAGAAGGCTGGGGACTGCAGCAGTGAGAGCAGCTGGTGCTTACCGGGCTGATGACCCCTTAGCATGACGGGAAAGCTCTCTCCCAGTAACTCCCTCCCAGCAGGGCCCAGCTAATCTCCATTCTCGCCTGCTCTGAGCAAACAGGACCCTGTGGGGACAGTGTGCCCCCACTCCCAGCCTCAGCGCCAGGCGTGACTGCTCCCCCACTTTCCCCAACCTCCTCCCCAGCGAGAAAGAGCCCAGTGGGGTTTGTCAACGAAGAGCAAGGTCACATTATTCCAGGTGTTGGGGCAGAGGAGAAGAATCACCCCCCACAGCTGAAGGCAAACAGCGACACTGCCAACAGGAGATGACTTCAATCTTTTCAGCCCTACTACTGCATTCATTCCCTAGATCACCCACAATGCCAAGAACTTTGTGTAAACACCTTTTGCATATTTGCTTTGTTTGAGGAAAAAAAAGAGAGGTCTATTCCCAAGAGCAATGAGTTTATCCTCATCAGTTTGACTGATGACAAACAGGAAAGCAGCTGTTGCTGTCTGAGGAATGGTTTAGAGGCCACAAAATACTTATTTTAAACAAATGACATACAATACCTAATTTTACACTGTAGGTGTCATGGTTCAGGCCTCTTCTTGGTGCCTGACCCAAAATGAAAACGCAAGATTAATTAAACGGGAGCGTTTTTTGTCAGCTTTGTCACCCCAGGCTGTTGCGATGTTTGCCTCAGAAGTTTCTATCCTCAGATTTTTGTTTCTAAAACTGATCTGAAATCTCATTTCTAGAACCTGCAGCCTTCTCTGGTTTTTCTCCTTCGGTCGTCCAAGATTGCATTTCTTTCCTTGTGTCTTTTCTGTCCTTTTAATAAATAGCTGCAATATTTGCCTTTGTCGTCACACCTGAGGGACAGAAAAATGTGATGAAAATGAGTAAATGAAAGAGAAGATAAAGATCCTGCAAGGTCTCACAGGGCAGAGACGAGACCAGCCCAGGTGCTCCCCCTTCAGGGCGTGTTGACTTGTCTTCCGCAGGACTCGGACTCGGTGCACGTGCAAGACGGACACTGTGAGTCAGGGGGCCGCTGCCCCAATGACCTCCGACCCCCAGGGCCCCTCGCAGCGCCACTCCCCCACAGGCCGAGACGACTCCTGCGCCCGAGGAGATGAAGCCCACTCCCACAGCGGACAGTGGGCGGCCGACGAGGCCGTGACGGCAGTCTGCCTCTCGCCCCCGGCGGAAGAGGGGCTGCAGAGAGCCGTGGAGGGGCGCGCTGCTTCGGACGAGGAGGAGGAGCGGGGCAGAGAGGAAGGGCAGTGCTGCCTTGTGGAAGTCAAGAGGCTGATCAGCCGCCTCCACTGCTGTGCCAAGGGGTGAGCTGCAGAACAGCAGGGAGCCCACCTGCTCATTTATTACTGCTGACATCAGATCTCATCCAATAACTCGGCCTGGCAGTTTGTTCCTGAGCCTTACAGCCTTAGATAAGGACGTGCCTCCCATTTTTAGATGTCTTCTGACTCACTGTACCACTTTGCTCACAGAGCATCGCCCACTCATAGACTGCAGTCCGGTTTTTGCTGGCAAATATGAGTTCACTGGACTCATGCGTTTTATGCTTGAAGAGCTGTAAGTAGGTAATTTCAAAATCCAAGAGGTTGTCAGGCCAGAACTTGTCCTGGGTTCCATGGTGATAAGTGAACACAGAGCATGTGACTCTCCCCTGGACAGGACATCAGTCCATAACAGGGCAGACACACATTCACTCACACCTCCATACAATCTTTAAACTGCAATAGGAGACCAGAACACCCAGTGAAAACCCACATGGCCCATAACAGAACATGCAGACTCCAAACAGACCGTTCCCTTGTCCAGAACCCATGATAGAGCAGCTGAGAGGCAGAGCTAACCTCCACACCACTGTTGCCCCCATTTGTATTTAATAACTTAATAACAAGTGGTGCCGAAGAAGGAGAGAACACATTTAGTGTCTCTGCAACAGGGAAAATGAGTCTTGTTGCTTTACAAAGACTAGACTTAAGTGAAGAGAATCCTGACTAAGGAAAAAAACACCTCCTTGTTTCTGGTTTGGTTGATGGTTTCCGTTCATATTTAGGGACAGAACCCACTATTTGGGCCTTTCAGGTCTGGTTCAATTCCCTGTCCCCTCACATCTGTATCCCACTCGTTTCACAAGTGCAGCACGAGGATACAGAATAAAGAACTCTCTCCAATGTAATTTCAGTCTACTCCTTATAAGGACAAATAGGACGTTTTTCACAGCTCCCTGCGATTCCGATCTTTAGAAGTATTCGAAGAGGCTGAACGTCTGTGGCCCACAGCAGCCAGTCCAGTCCAGTCCAGTCCAGTCCACTCCCTGTCTTTCTGCTGCAACTGCTGTCACATAAGCACCTCTGCTCCAGAGCCGAGCTGTGCAGACAGACAAAGCTTGGCCGCTGATCGGCATCTGTGTCTATGAAAGTAGATCATGATGGATTTGTTATGCCTTGCCTTACTTGCCACCTTGCTTTGGCTTAGCTTTGTCATGCCTGCCCCTGACTGCTATTCTTTACCAGATCTCTCTGTGCGGTACCAGAGCTTCACCCTGATATCACTTCACTTTCTACGGCACATACCAATGAACTTTTAGAAGATGCCAGTGGATTTGGCTAACCTTGAGTGTACAAACCACGCAACATACAAAGTGTACGTGAGGCACCCAGAACTGTCCAAATTTAGAAACCCACAGATGCATTGTGCTGCTGCAGTGAGCCATGTACACTGTTCTTTTGTAGGTACGTGAGTTAAATGGGAACACCTGCCTTTTCTCATTCTCCTCTGATGAAGTTTACTGACCTGCAGCCTCCTTCTCTTTCCTGACAGCTGTCAGAACGCTGCTGCACGCCAGCTGCTCATCAGCCAGACCTGTTACCACGGTAACCCCCCAGACGGCATCTCCATGACGGCAGAGCTCAGAGGGAGGAGCCGGAAAAGCCACGCCCGCTCCGAAGAGAAGGAGAGGGGCACGGAGAGAGAGAGCGAGCTGGAGAAGGTACCTGGATCGGGGGCGTGAAACTCAGTTCCCCAGAAGGCAGGCATATGTCCTGTTGTCTCAGGCCTCAGTTACTTCGCTGGGCCAGTTTTTCCTAGGGTTGCTCCTGATGACTTGTAACACAGCTGTGTGTGTGAGGTTAACCAGGTCATCTTAAATGATTTCAGCAGGGAAAAAAAAATATCAAAGAGTGTGGTGGACAAAATTAAGACATTAGTTCAAGAGTGAAATTCTCATCTGGAGCACCAACCAGAAGACTCAGGGATCTCGTAAGACTAGAACAGGAAACACTCTGTCTTATTGTCCTACTGCCTGGACTGATGAGTCACGTGTCTTCACAGGCTGTAAGTGTAATGGTTCTTGGGGTTTCCGGCCTTGCCACTCCTGCCCTGCCAGTTCGTCCCTCACTGCCTGGGCATGAACCCAGGTCTCTGGAGTCACGCAACAGGGGCTGAGCTAAAGGAGAACTCCCCCACCCCGGGCGGCTGAGATCTCTTTATACGCAGGGGCGTATTCGTTACATAAGCCACGTGCTTAATGTTGACTAGAGATGAGAGCTAAGGAAATGGGAATCAAGGAGAGTTACCGAGCTGAGTTTTCACGGGCTTCTCTCCCTCAGCTGCTGTGCTCGGTGGGGAAGGACCTCCAGCTGAAGCAGGAGGAAGCAGAGATGCTGAGGCTGGAGCTGCAGATGGTGGAGACCGAGCGCGTCCGCCTGTCCCTGCTGGAGGAGAAGCTGGCCGACGTGCTGACTCTGCTGCTCCAGCTGCGCAGCAAGGTAATGCACAAGCAGAGCGCCAGGACTGCTGCCCTGGAAAACGCTTCCCTTTCCACAGAGCTTCTTTGATGGAAAGATGATCAAACTCAGGAAAATACCACTGACGTTCTGCTGCTCCTCCAGTCTTGCAATCTGTCAGGTGGTTAGTCAGTGTTTAGAAAAGCAGAGGCAGCACCATCTGTCCCTCTCTTGAACTAGAACGATCACCTCTTTCAGCCCACCTGCTTCAGCTGTTACCATGGTTAACAGTACCACCTAGCTGTAAGTGGTGGAACTGCATTTCTGAGAACTACGATGTTTTGACTGTAGCACAGCCTCAGACGAAACCCACCCTCTGTTTTACAGAATATATCTCGCCGAGCCCTGGGGAAGATCCTGATGGACACTTTAGAAGTTTGTAGCAAAGCCGGTCATGGTAATCCTCTCTCTTGCCTTTATCAAAATTGAACCTAATAAATCCTGATACCAGATACTGTGAGAAGCTTTAAACTAATTTTATGCATTCCTTCTTTAGTCTGTGATATCACAGCCCGCTTATATACTTAGTTTTCTAAACAGCTCTTATTATGTTTTCTTTCTTATGACCTCTTTATTAAAGACATTTAGACTCAACATTGTCACTGCATAAGACTCAACATTATCACAGCAATGGGCCAAGCAGTTTCAGTGGACTCAATACTCTGTCACACTGAAAATAATATTGGGTATTGTAATGAAGTAAAGTCTTCCACTTGCAAACAATTGCTGCACCTTTTCTCAGAAGCATAAAGAGTGCTTAATGGGTGTGAAATCATTTATGCGCATACAGGTATGGTACAACAGTAACTTTTGGAAGCCATGTGGAGGAGTGGATAAGGTTCTGGACTTGTAACTGCAAGGTTGTAGATTTGAATCCCAGCTGAGACACTGCTGTTGTACCCTTGAGCAAGTTTCTTTACTTGAATTTCTCCAGGATAATTTCCCAGCTGTGTAAACGGGTGCAAATGCAAGTCACTGTGGATAAAAGCATCAGCCAAAAAACATGCAGTAAAATCATGCAGCATAGCGCATCAACCATTGCAATGTGAACTGTCGTGCCTGAAAATGTGCAACCGCTCTCTCACCTGTCTCCCCACAGGCCCTTCTCACTCTCTCCAGGTCCTGGATACTCTGTGCCAGCAGCTGCTGGCCTGCGAGCTGCTGTGCGAATGCAGCGGAGGGCAGCCTGGGAGCAGGAACCCGCGTGGCACGGCCAACCCCCTCCTCATCTCCTGCTGAGTGCACACGGGTGCATTATGGGATGGTACAGAGGGTGGAAGAGATTCAACCCCAGTGCTTCTCTGCGGCTGAGAGTGACGCCAGGGAAGAGGGGCTTTCTGGATTTGAATCAAGCAACTTGATCACGGTCCTGGTCTGAAGCCTTTTTAGTCCGTCAGGGGTCACTCTTGTAAGCCACCAAGCTTGCATCTGGGCATCTGGGTCAAATTACAGGCATCAGACAGGGTGTAAGGGCAACAATGACAGGGAGATTCAGAGAGACCATGGACACCCCGTGAACTAGATAGGACATCAAGTGGGATTTTGACAAAACATTTCCATCCGATCAATGCCTGGAGTCATTTTCAAGCCCAGAGCAGATGGGAATGCAGGGGCAGGACATCCCAGTGCTTCCACTGGGTCTCCCAGCTTTTCCTGGGATCCGAAGCATTGGAGAGCAGAGGGGCTCCTACACAGACTGGAGGAATTGGAACTCTTAAAGCTGCTAGGAGGAAGAGGTGGGCGTGAAGGCTGGACTGAGTACAGATGATCAATTGACTGCTGGGGGTGTTGTTCCTGTCCAAGGGGTCCAGTTACTGGCTCCAAATACAACAGTCAATGAGACAAAGGATGTGCAGGCAAGTTCATCCAACAAAGTGCCCTGGCTTTTTCACTGCCAGACCTCTTCAAGTCCTGTTTCTCGGTCGCAGCTCAGGTACCTATAATCTCCTGCTTCAAAAGCTAAGTTTATTCAAATATAATTTTCACAGATGCGTGTGCATAGTTATTCAGAATTGTACTGTATAAATGGATGATATTTATGAAGTGTAGCATCCCTTTGTGCTATCTTATTGCAGAGGAATGGTCTGTATGTAACATACAACCCCCTCTCTTGTTTTCCTTGAAATGTCTCTTCGGTCTAACTGTCCACATCTTGGTAAAAAGGTGTATAGAAAAAAAAAACTTGTATTGCAAGTGTAGTATTCAATCAGCATCTTTTGCATTCCTCAATGTGTTTCATGGTGAAATTGGGGATTTGTGTAACTAGACCATATATTATATTGTCTTGCTATTCCACAGCTTGTGAATGTACTGTAAGAAACCCTGGAAGATTCACCATATCAATGCACTGATTTAAGCAAAAATAAAATGTAGAAATAACGTGTGATTCAACCCTTGGCTTGCAATGAAAGGTTTTAGCTCAAGAGTATACATGCAAGGAAAGAGGTGGGCCAGCAACAATAAAAGGCCAGGGAATAAATGGGATTCTTTCATTTCGAATTTTGTAAATGCTGTTTTCACACTGCAGACTCTGACGTGAGAGAGAGGTGGGGTCTTCAACCTCTGTCCAGTACACCTCCAGAAATGCAGAGAAAACTTGCACCTCAGATCCAATAGTGTGTAAAACCAGCTCTATCTCAAAGACTAACCTGACAGAGCTTGTGGGGGATTTATGAACCTGCAGTTCTGCTTTCAGACCCTCATAATTAAGAGTGCCTTTGTCAGTTACTTACTGGTTTTAGGTCTAAGCTGGGAATTCTTATGAAATAACCTTCCCTGAGGGACTGACCATTGATTCTCTTGTTCAAGAATCAATCATTAGTAACAGAGCATAGTTCTTCAAAGCAAATCAATAATGTAATGAAACTGCAAGTGACCCTGTTCTCTTACTTCTGTCTCTGCTCAAGGCTCATGTGGGAATTTAAAATAAAAAAAAATTGTCCAAAACTCAGATTCAGAAGTTTCAGAAGCTTTAGGCCAGGAATCAACATGTTAACAAACCTGTAAAGTAGTTTAGATACATGTAGATTTTGAAGATCAACATTCTGTCTTTAAACGTGACACTGTTGCAGACGTGTTTGAACACTGAGTTCTCTGATATCTTGTGGAAGACGTAATGTAAGTGGCCTTATCTGGCATGATGCGCTTCTGCCCAAACTGCTATCAGGCCTGTGAATTCCACAGCAAAGAGTGTAACGTCACCAGCCACAGGTGATGAAGCAAAAGCTGAAGTGCAGGATTGCACTGGCAGGGTTGCGCTGGCACAATACAGTTGGCCTTGGCTCCCGATCAGGTCACAAGGTCCATATTTAACTTTCAAGCTGTAATTCCTGTTCTGTGAACAGATGACTCATTTTTGTGTACCATTCAGTCTACTCGGGATACATTTACTTGTTTCCACAATAGAGGCCATTGTATCATCTCAGACAGAGAAAACAAAAGCATGGCTTTGTGTGCTTTTTCCCTCATAAAACATAACCCAAATTGAGTTTCTTTGTTGTGGACAGAGGATAATTCTGTGTAAACTGAGTGCCTAGGAAACTCACGTCAGGTACAGTCACAGGCTGAAGGTGATGACTGATCTAAACCCTGCTGCTAGATCCCCCACCTGACAGCGGGCCTGAGTAGAACACAGCTCGGACCCATTGTTCACCACAAACCAGGAGTCCAGTACTGCGCCCAGTGCTGGCAGAAATAGATTGGCAGGTAGTACAAGAGTCCCTGTTGTGTGGCAAGCTCACCTAGCCCTGGTACATCTCAGGCAACTGTGCCCTGGTGCATCTCAGGCAACTGTGCCACCACTTCTGGGTGAACCTGTGTTGCAGTGGGCTAACCTTGTAAACTATTCTAGCATCAGGTTCAACCAGCATTCCTAATGAGCACCTTCACTCTCTGCAAAAGTAGCAAGCTTTTCAGAAGGCATTTCTAATGAAACAAGGCATTTTGGAAGCTGCAATGCCAGCACAATAATCTGGGTATAATATTATAGGCTTGGCAACAGTCATATTAGTTTTTATTAGTCATATTAGTTAGCTTTCTCATTTAAAGAAAAAAAACTGCTTGAAAAGGCAAAAAATAAAGTGATACAGTGTTTTAATCTTGAAATGCAAGAATTCAAGGTTGACATCACCCTTGGTATTGAATAGAAGATTCCAGAGCTAAGAAATTACTTTTCTTTATTTCTAGAATTTACATTTATAAAGTACAGCAGATGAGCAGTCCATGATTAATATTGGGACATAAGAGCGCTGATGTGCAGGCAATCATGCCAACATGCAGAGCCGCCTTAACATTGTGTGGAAAGGGGGCAAAGACCAGTAAATAACAAGCCGAAAACAAGATGAAGGGCTCAGATCATCTCTGCATCCCCATAAGCCATGATGGCCTTGTAATGGTGAAAGCAACTGTAGTCCAAAATAAGCACATATTGTCTCCATCTCCATGAAGAAGAGCATCCCAGCATGCAATCCAGCTTTAGCAGTGCCAGACACTGCAAAACAGCAGAGCACTATGGGCATCCCACCCCTCCTCACCGCTGCAGTCACGGACTCGAGCAGGGCTCCTGCTTGCCCTCACAGGACTTCACACCAGCTCAGTCTGTCCTCATCCGGAGACCAGCTGCTGGGACCCAACTGCAACTGGGCGGAGGATAGACCACTGACCCGAAACACAGAGTCCGCAAGCCCACAAGTCATTTACAGTACGTGCACTGTGTAGAAAGTGCACTGTGCCATGCTGACATTTATAACAGTGATGACTTCTAATCTTCAGAGTTTCTCTCTTTTGAAGTGTTACCGACGCAATTCACAAATCCATGTTTAGTAATGACAGTCAAATAGGTTATACTCAGTTTTGTTCAGCATAAAGTAATGCCTCCTCTGAACTAATAAACTCTTAAAATATAAAAAAAGCTATTTCACTTCAGAATGACCATGAAAAGTCAGTTTCTTGCCCTTAAGGTACTCCATATTTTGCACAGGATTTACATAATCTTAGTTCATTGTGTACTAAGTGATTGTTCAGTTATTTTGCTCTCCTTAGGCACAATACTGTTACAAAATGTTTGCTATACTGGCACAATTCAAAACAAGAGTACAGAACACAAAATTAAAATAACTTATTTGCAGAATAAATATATTTATGTATAATTTGTGCACATATGCATAGAAAATAGCATCATAATCTTAATCCACAAGACTAACATTCGACACTACTTTCCTCCATACTGAAGGCTCACAATCACTAAGGGCACTTTCAAGATCTCAACAGCTGGCACAAAGTTGGCACCAATTCTGAGTTGTAGAGTTCAGAGCAGAATCTAATGGAATAGCAATGATCTGGCCTTCCTTTCATACAGCAACACCTTCTCTGTTCCTGAACCTAGAGAAATGGACATCTTTTGGATGCTTAAGAGGACAGTATTACAGTACATCTTACAAATGATTTGTTTCATCAATGCCTTTCCCCACACTTGAAATCAATCATTCATCCATGACATAAAATCCTTCCATACACACACCTTTTAAAAAATATTTCATGAGCAACACCATTCAGATACATTAAAACTGTAATCATGGGTCTGACAGGTGATGTGTTTCCCCCGAACATGCTGGATTTTAAAGAGAGCCATCCTGGACAGCTAAGATGCAAATCCACATGGTCTGCCCAAAGGCACATATCATGGCAGGAGACTGATTGTACACTGGATGCATCCATCGAAGGCTGTGCCATTATTAGCTAATCACTCATATTAACACCCCAGGTTTTACACCTGAGGTGTGTAAGGGCAGCAGAAGCAGGTTCAAGCACTCATCCAGGCAAACACACAGCTTCCAAAACTGAGACTCGAACCGAGAACGTCCTGTTAAGGAGATCTTTATCTTATCACGGTTTCTTTGCTTGGACCACCTAATAAGCTGACAACCTACCAAACAGGACAGAACTGCAACATAATTACAGCATTCAATGGAAGAAAATGGTACAAAATATACTTAGGGCAAATACCGGAACGCTTAATAAAGACCCAGTGTAAATATGTTTTCTATTTAATTTTTATAAAATTCTAGAACGATAACAAAAAGCTACCTTTTTGGAACAGTGAAGTCCTAGAAAACATTTGTAGTTACACGCTATTTCCACTAGGTGGCTGCAACATAAAATGTCTTAAAACGTCTGAATATATCGCATCGTACGATTGCACAGCATTTTCTAAAAAAGCTTTACGCAGAAAAAAACATCGAAAAGCGCTACTCATTCTTGATGTTTTTTTCAGCAATGACACTGTGTGAAGAAGAGACAAAAATAAACGTAACCCTGATATATCTCAAAGTGACAGCTTTGGTAAAAAACATTTTTTTGCTAGACTTAATTTTCTTTTCGCCTCTATTTTTGTAACTCAGTGAATCTTAAAATATCTTGCATATACATTAAATGAAAAACTTAAAAAAAAAACAGTTTTTGGTTAGCTCAATTTTGTCGTGTTCAGAACGTCCTCTATTTCACAAATTCATGTTTTACTGAACTAAATGTTCCTCTGGCTAAAAATATCAACAAGGGAATAGTGGTTCGGTCATTCATTCCGTAAAGCTGATCATAAACCTGTCATAGATGTAGCAGAAATTATGCCGGCATTACATTTCACTGCCAAACAACAAACCCATCGTCCTGTTAGCACTCAAGCCCCATTATCAATGCCAATGCCCTTACAGAGCCAGTAATTTAACTGCGCTGGCATGAGACCTGCTTTCCGGATCACTTAGGGCAAGAGCATTTAAGCTTTAGAGATAATGGACACCCATCGAGAATCATAATTTAGATCCCACACTATTGTCTAGTTCGCTCAAAGGTAAAGAATGACGAATATTCCCAATTCACCGAGACCAGGCAGATGAAACCTGAACATCAGTGAAAGACCTCAAGGCGACGTCTAAAACAAACTGCAATGCCACGAGCAAAGACTGTTTCCTTTCCTCTTGTTCTGCACAGAATGAACAAGGATCTCCAACCCTGGGCAGGGGGAGCCGCACGGACGCCGGTCAATTCCACGAGCCTACGGGTTCATCAGCCAAAATACCCAGAAGGTAGATGCAGACTGTAGTGCGCATTCTGGCACCTGCATTATGAAAACATGGAAACGAGAAACGAAAATGTACCGAGAAATGTTCGGCGAGAATGTGACGGTGCCAGTTCACACAAGGGGGCGCTCATGTCACAGGAGTCTGTAAGAGAGCGCACGGCCCAGTGTTGGGAGTGTCATGCAGTATGTGGTGGATGCTACGAGTACCCTCTACGGTCATCTCCCTGCATTGTCCGACTTGTAGTCCACGGCTCTCCCTGACCAGGGTGCAGACATCTGTACCAGCTCCACCAGTTGTAAGCCACAGCTACTGTCCACCCTCCTCTACTGTGCACTTTGTTAAATCTCTCCGTGCCCTTACGCCTTTTTTATGCTTCGGGTCGCAAAGCAAATGCATGTCACGTTGTAAATTAGTTTTTAGTTGGGTGTGCATCTAAACACAAAGATACCTCAACTTGCCCAGCAGGTTATATGGTATAGTTTGCTCCCAAGAGTAAATTGTACCATACAACCTGTTGGAGAGTAACAAGGCGATGGAAAGTGAAATTTGTGGAAAGTCAAACACTAAAAAAAAAAAAAAGTTGATCCACTTAAAGTCACCTGAGCAATGTCATCCAGAGCCATACTACATCTGAAGTGCCACTAGGATCTACATATTTTCCCAGTTTTGAAGACTACAGTACTGTACAAGATCCAGGGCAGTATTCTCAAACAATCAAGACAGAGATTCCAGCGGCACCACAGCTCTTTTTCACTAGCTTTCAGACAAGCAGGGAAGTCAGGTCAGTACGTTCTGGTCCGAAGTTCTCAGCTTGCTTCTTTGCCTTCTGTTGTGGCTGTTGATGGGCTCAGCTAGAAGGCGAAAAGGATATTGTAACAGCACCTCCTTTCAAGAACAAAGCAAGAACAATGACATACGGCACTTCATAAATCAACACATCCTCGTTTTTAGACGCTCGCTTTTGAATTCGGCACTGCACGCTAAAATGATCTCCTCATTTACAAACGTGGCCGACAGGGCCATTGGAAAAAAAAAAATCCCCATTGAAAAATAATGAGAAAGTGATTTCTCCCGCTAAAACGAATAACAAATTATTCTAATAAATAAGTCCTGGAAGCGGAAGGAGAGAGGGAGGATGGGGGCAGGCAGGCACAAGGGGGCCGTTCAATCGCCGACGTCGGTGTCGCGGTCCCCGATGAGCCACAGGATGTGAAAGCTCAAAGCCAGGAAGCCAGTTCCCAGCAGGTCCCCCAGGGCCGTCAGGTAAGGGATGGAGAAGTTATCAGGGTCCATGCCCCTCCCCCACATCCAGTGCACCATCCAGTCAGAAAAGTACAGCAGGATCAGCACCTGGAGAGAGAACAGGAGAGTCCCGCTGTGTTACTGAACGCCTGTGCACAATTCAGCAGCATTAAGCCCTAGTTATTTTCTCAGTTCAGGCACTATAGGCCTTTTCCAGGTCTTCGTTTATTCATGTGAGGAACTCCAGGGGTGCAGCCGTACACAGAAGACACTGCCAAGCTCCCTGTCCTGCACACCACTGTCCGCCATGATTCACAACACTAGGCCGGTGTCTAGACCCGAGGTCACTGCCAGTGTCCTGCTAGCCATCGCTGCTGATGGAGACAATCAGTGTATAGGGGTCTGTGTGGGCTGGGATCTGACCAGCACTGACCAGACCAGAGTCTGTGCACTTCCTGTATGCTGGACTATGTCTCAGACTCCACTGATCAAGAGCATCAACAAATCTGCCGATAGTGACAGTCATTGTTTAAAGTGCGTCAGAAGCACTTGCACATTGTAAAGGCCCAGCTTGTCAGCATCTGAGATGCCGATTCACCAGCTGTCAATATTGTTCAACTGAACAAGCTGTTATTTAGTACTGTGTAACATTTGTTAAAAATCTGAAGCACTGCCTTATGGCATGTGAGAAAACATAGGCAATAGTTTGTTCATAAATTAACACTTTTAAAACAGCCTGAGCCTTTTAAATTTGTGTCCTAATACGATTCAATTAGTGCCAATAAATTTTTCAAAACTGGGTTAAGCAGACAAAGCAGGAGCTTTAAAAAAATAAATAAAGAGCCCTTTTCTCCCACTGTGTACCTGTAGCAGTGCAGCAGTCATGTAAAAGGCAACAAAAATGGAGGTGAGGGTGGTGTGTCCCGCCTGCATGGAGTTGATGGTGTAGAGGAAGACCAGATGCCCGGGCACCACCAGGAGGAAGAGCACCCGCGCAGATCGCGAGTTCACGCCTGCAGGACGAGGGAGAGAGCAAGAAGGCCCTCATCACAATCACAGCCGCACACTGGACATTCTCAGAATCGCTGACCATTGCCTGCCTCATAACAGAGAGGTACTAAAACAATTACGGATAATACAACCGAGTCGCAGCACTGAACGATCAGGCAGAGCCAGAGACCAAGCACTCGGGCAAAGGGGTGATAGTTAAATCATGGGCACTGAAGCACTGTGGGAAAGTCAGACTTAAAGCCCACCCAATCTGGAATGGCCAAACTGCCGTCTGGGCCCTCAGCCACTCCTGCAGTGCTGCGGAGGTAGAACTGGTTATTTGATACACATTGCAAGCGCCACAGTGCCTCAGCACTGAGTAGGGGACCAACTGTAAACATATCACACATCTTTAATAAATTGCTCATATTGTAATATTTGTATCGTCCCCAGACAGTGCACCTGTAAAAACTAATGAGGAATACTGAAATGCCGCCTTTTGTAAATGTCTTCATTTTTATGAAGCAGCTGTGGCTCAGTGTGTAATGTCTTTGACTGAAAGTTAAAAAAAAAGCATAAAGCTTCTGAAACGCAGAGATCCCAAGTCAATCTAATACTTTTGCTCAGAGCTGGGAAGGCCAGCGTCTCTGCGGGTTTTCTTTCCAGCTCAACAACCTCAATCAGCTCATAACAGGCTCAATGGGACCACTTCAGCAGTGTCTCACAGCTCTCCAGGTGCTGCTGCTTTGAAGAGACCTAGAAATCCCGCAGACACACCAGCCCTCCGGAACCAGGCCTGCCCACCCACAATTTAGAGAAGCCAAAGGAGATGAGCCAACTGTCGTCACTTACGTCCCTGCAAAACAATCAGAGCACAGAGAGCAGGAGGACAGTCGGCCAACGGGCCAGGGCGTGTGGATGCTGCGGAGGCGAGGGGGACTCACTGGATCCGAAGAAGGTGCTGCAGGGCGTGGGGCACCTGCGCTGCGGGACGCTGGGCTCCAGGCCTGGCATGCCACTCATGTGCAGGTAGGTGGAGATCCGGCTGGCCTGCACCGCCACCAGGTTCCCGCCAACACCTGCCCGCCAAGAGCAAGCCTGTGAGCATCGCAGCCCACCCACACATCCGCCGTCAGAGCAGAAGAAAGGTGGGGGATAACTGGGGCTTCTCATGTTC